AAAAAAAAAAAAAAAAAAAAAAAAAAAAAAAAACTATCATAGTTACTGTTATAACGATGTTTCTGAGCATGAATTTAGCCGCTTGTGATAGAGAGAGATTAGTATTTATAGTCATTAAGGAAATAAATTTGAGACTTATGTATGTAGTTATTGATTTTTTTTTTTTATTTTTTTTTTTAAAAAGTATCATGTATTTGTGGTTTCCCATATGTTTCTCAGGGTTTTATTTTCTGTATAAACCAGACAGAAAAGGCCTCACCATCAAGTAGAAGTTACACCACTGTCATAAACCTTCACCAGATAAGCTTCCAACCAGAGCAACAGCTTACTTTGTGCATGAACTTGCCAAAATATTTACCTTACAAGCTTGATGCTACTGTTACCACATTCATCTGCCGAGTTTCGCCACATCTTTTCCGAAAAACTCATCTTTTATATAAGAACTAATCTTTTTTAAACTTGAAAGTAGCATTAGCTATTGTATCACAACAAGAACAACAGATGATTACAGGGCGTATAGGACATATATAGATTTCTTTTTCATTGATTGAAATTTAAGATTACATACAAAAATGAGGACATAGACCCAATCTCAAACAACTAACTGCAAGAACTTTCTACTGTATCGTTGAACTGATACTTAGATTAGCAAAGATGGGTCATCTTTCTTGTACTTGAAACTGTATGAAAATTTCCGGGTTTTGATCTATTATTTTCTGGCACCCAGATTTCTATAATTTTCTGGAAACCAGATTTTGTCCTCTTCAACTTTCTTCCTTTCTTCTTGGACTGGGTTAACAATTTGAAGGGAAAAAAAAAAAAATCTGAACAAAAAGTTGCGGCTCTATATGTCTGAGAGCATGGGCAAATATCAGCCATATGATTCCACTCATCAAGTGCAACATCTTTGAACACAAGTAGAAATCTACATAATTTCTGGAGAGAAATGTATTTTAACATTAAAGCCATAGAAAAATATAACAAAATTATGGGATATACCAGAAAATAACCATAGTAGGAAAGAAAAGTTCTTAACAACTTAGGATGCACGGTTCATATAATCTTCAATATAGGCAACTTAATATAATAGTCCTGACCATTAAGACTTATTCTTCAGATACCAAGCTTATTTTCCTTCCTCAAATAATTATTTACAGCTTAAGTCGATTATTTCGGTACCGCACCAGCTTCAGTAAGCAACGGAACAAGCTCGCCTCGTTCGTGTTTTGCAGCTACAACTGCAGAACCACAGAAAGCATAAACTGTATTAGTCAGTTTTCTACGTAGTATAAATACTGAGACAACCCTTAACTAATCAACAATTACAAAAAGAACCAGAATCATCTTTTATCACGAGTTGAAAAATAGATGAATGATAACTGAAGTTCGTTGGGGTTTTAGCCAAAGCAGCTCTTCGGGGTCGAATCGATTGTCTGAAAGTCGTAACTAGACTAACTTCAAGGGTTTTTCATAATAAGTCCTAACTTAATAATAGCACAGAGGCTTTACCATCAGAGCCACCAATGTGTTTGCCATTGATGAACACATTTGGGACAGTCCTCTGCCCCGTCCACTCTGCAAGAGCCGTCTGAATTTCATCACCGTCACCTTAAGAAAAAATATAATAATAATAATCACAAAGCTCGTAAGTTGGAAGTTCCAAAATAGGTGAGAAAGAAAGTTGATATTTAGAAAGAACTCACTTTCCTCATCAAGTTCGATAATTTTGTAAGTAGCTTTCAGTTGGGATAGAAGCTTTTTCACCCTACCGCAATATCCACAGTATGTTTTGCTGCACAAAATTTAAGAAAAAAAGGCGTAAAACTACAGCTCAAAGTCTACTAAGTTGCTAGCATATTAGATCACAAGGTAAATATGAAAATCAAGAAACGATAATTAAAATTAAAGGTTCAAAACTAGACTGCATAAGATGCAAACCTGACAGGAAAACCGTCTAATACATTTTTTTTTTTCTAAATGGTTGCTATACATGTAGTCTTTCTAAAAATCTGAACTTTTATGAAGCGGATGAAGCATGATAGAGTTTTTTATTAGTAACGATAAACTTGTCAAGAATTTGAGTAAGCACTCGGTGATTCTCGTTTGGTCATTATTGAAAATTGAAAAAATTTGCCAGTAACAAAGTAAAATGGGCTTGGCTGAGAGCAGAGAGCTTAATTTCAATTTACAAAAAAAAAAAAAAAAAAAAAAGAAGGAAAAAAAGAAGCCCTTTTAAAGATTATATCTTGATTTTTATTATGTTGGAGACAACAATGTCATTGGTTACATCTTCTAAGGTCCTTCATTTGATTCAAGTTTCAAACACTTGGGTGTAAACAAGCCGACTCGCGCTCGAGCTCCGGATACTCGAGCTCGAACCCGAGCCTTTATGGAGCCGAGCTTGCGTTAAGTAAACAAGCTCGATCTCAGTTAGTTTATGATTTCTTACAAGACAAACTCGAGCCTTAACGAGCCGAGTTATAGAACACTACAAAATAATTCATATTTTGGAGCCTTAAAGGGCCTTCTCGGCTCAGCTCGTTAACTAAACGAGCTTTAAGGAAACCGAGCCAAGCCCAAAGCCATAACGAGCCAAACTCACGAGCGGCTTGTTTCAGTTGACAACTCATGACAAATTTCCAAACAAGCACTTTAAATTTACACTAAGAACCATAAATCAGGCTGAAAAGGCATACTTAATTCATTCCATCCATGAATTTAAAGATGTCACAATCTTGACCTTTTTTTCAACCTCCTAAGCTCACAATGCCATTGTCAGCTCATTGACTCTACGGGGGATACGCAAGATATTGGAGCCTTGAAATCAAATCAAGAAATTCATACAAATTCAAACAACACAGTCCGTCAAGCATCAAATCAAACAATTTCAACACAAAAATTCCAATCACATTAGTGTTCTTACCTAAAAAAAAAAAAATCCTAAGTTCCACAGTTTTATGGCTCCAAATCACAAAAAAAAAAAAAAAAGGAAAAAGATCATCTTTTTTCAAAAGCCCAGACAAAAGAACCTGAAAACCACAACAGGGTTTGACGAGACAATCTGCTTGGCCTTCGCAAGAGCCATTTCTATATCTTCTCTCTTCTGGGCTGAGCTGAAAATTGATCCCATTTAATTTCCCCTTTTTTTTTAGCTTTATATATTCTGCAAAAATCTTTATAGATGAGAACAAGTGTCGCAGGTCTGAATCACCTTAGTGTCCTCGACCTCGTTAAGGATTGCACAGATCTTGGGCTGATTTTGTTTCGAACTGCTTTTCGGCCCCTGCGAACAAATTCTTTTCTTTGGCATATATCAAATCTGAAATCTTCCTTTCATTAGAAAATGCGTCTGACTATATTTATATTTAATGGGCATAATTCTTTTTGGGCTCGAAAAAGTTAAAAAAAAAAGCTATTATTGTTATTTAATACAAATTATTTTTTTTCATGGGAATTTTTTTTTTAATCTTTAGATATTTTTCTTTTAGGTTCATGTGTTATTAGGGTTTTTTTTTTATGGAGATTCTACGGTCCGTTACAGAATCATTTTATCGAGATTTGTAGATCAACTCTCTACGACGGTTACATGATAATCTAACGGTTACGAATCCCGACGGAATGGTTCCGTAACGGGACTGTAGCATTTTCTCTTTTTAATGGTGTTTATGTTATTAATATCCACTACACTTTGAAAAAAAAAAGGGATGATCAATCTATACTTCTGCAGAGGCCATGAAAAAAAAAAAAAAAAAAAAAAAAAAAAAAAACAATCTTTTTAGGCTCTTCATGCACCATATATCAATATAAAACAACCATCCTGCAATTTCCATTTCTTACCAAATGATTTTCCCCAACTTTTCAAAATCAAGAAAAGACAACAATTATCCATACATAAATTTTCTTCTTCTTCCCTTTTCTTTTGTTCCAGCTAAAGTCTCATTTGGAAGCAAATATCTCTTCCAACTCCTTGTACAGTGTCCCTTTCGGCTTCGCCTTAAAATCGGTCGACGTCGATGCAGACGAGCTCCCGCTCCTCTTACTCTTCCAAAAACCGCTCCCTCTCGACTTGCTCGTCGAGGGTTCGCTTAGGCTCGTTTTATTATTCCCATCTTTACTTAAGCTAGACCTCGCCAGCTCACGTATTTGCCTCAGCCATGGCCTCTCGCCCGAGACCCTGCTGTTTACGCTCACATTTCGTCCCGTCTCGTTGCTTATCGGGAACCGTGTAGTCAACTTTTTGGTCAACCCACGTGGGCCCACGAACAAAACGAGCCCGACAAAACCCGTTTTCATCCCATGCAAGAAAGAATTTGTCACGGGATCCAAACGCTTGATCTGCACGTACAATGCTACCCATTCGTTTGCCATTTCTGCTAAAAAAGATAACAAAAAAACGAGCAGCATTGAAATCCCGAGCCTCCTCTCGTTTTCCGGCGAGAACTCTCGATCAAAGAACACGGCGAAAAGCGCAAAAATGGAAACTTGGCACGAAATCGATATTATCTCGACTAATTGGACTTTTTTCTTGATGAATGGCTTCTTGAGAACTATGAAGAAGAGTTGAAACGAAGTCATGCAGAGTAGAGTAATTGTCGGGGTTCGTGAGGACCAAATTCCCGAGTATGCCCCTGCGAGTATCCCGAGAGTCACGCGCTTAACAATCTCGATTAACGTGTAATAAATTCTTAAAATGCCGAATAGTTTCTGAATAAAAGGTGCTTCGGCATCTTCATTCTCATCGTCCGAGTCGATGATTCGATCATCGCCAGGTGGCGTCTTGAGGCTGCCACCTTCCGAAATTTGGGACAGCATGTACTTTGGCGGGCCTCTGAGGTCCTCGAAAAATGGGCCTAGAATGGCGAGGTACATCGATTTCGGCTCGTTTTTCCACGTCCATTGGCCTCGTTTGCCAGGGCCTAAAGTGACTCGGATAAGCTCTTGGTACCAGTGGGATTTTCGGCCCATTTGATGAACTTCCTTGTATTGGAGTAGCTTCCCCAATGTTATTCCGAACGAAAGGAATAAAAGCAAGCAGAGTAGCAAAAATGCTACTAAACTTAGTAAGAGTACGCCAACTATCATACCCGAAGATGATGCTCCTTTTTTATACATTTTATAAGAAGAAGAAAAACAAACGTGAGAAAATTACAAATTAGATAGCTCGATTTTGCTTTAGAAATTTTATCGATAGGTAAGTACCTTTTATTAAAGCTGCCGAAGCTTCACAAATGCAAGGGAGTGCGAGGATTGCAAGGAAAATTTCGAATCTTGGGAAAATGAGTGCTCCATAGCTTTGTTTTTCTTTTTCCTTGTTCTGCTTTCTGAATTTAAGGATCGCGAGCAGTATAACGTGCAGCATTAACAAGCTCCCAAAGATTATTGCCAACCAAAACATGCTTCGGCTAAAATCTCTCCACCTGAAAACGAAATGATTATTACACGAGTTGAATGACAATTGTATTTCGATAATGTACCTAAAAAGTAAAAAGCTCACCCATGTGAATTTTGTGGGTCTAAAATGTAATCAGCTTCGGGCAAGATATTCTGGCTCTGTCTCGGAAAAAAAATGCCCGTTTATAGCAAAATACAGAACCAGAAATTCAGAAAATGACAAAGTCTTGAGAGTGAAATTCGATGATTGTTGAGGAAAAAAAAAAAACCTCGAAATATGATCTGTACTCGATTGGAGTCAGAGGCAAACCGAAAACTTTCCCTGCCGGATTTATATTTACAGCTCCCGGCTGAAGGCCCTCGTAAACACGAAATAGTCGATCTTTCGGGGAATTTGACCCCACCATGACTGAATAATCTCCTCGATTTTCCCACGGGAGGTTGAAGTAAGGAATACTCCATTGTAGGCCTTTCGTGAGCTCGTAATATTCGACTGGCAAGGTGACTGGAAGCCATCTTGAAAATGCAAACACTTGGAGGTGGGAAGCTATTCTCTGCAAGAAATGAATTCACATATATATATAAAATTAGATGGCAACTAATTTTGTGAACATTATTATACTGAAAATGAAGTAAGGAATTTACGAAAAGATTTCGTGCAGGATCGAAGCATAAGATAGAACTTGGTCTAGAGAATGCGCCAGCTAATAGCAAGCTTGTGGTCGAAAGAGTTAAAGAACCGGATATTAGAGCAGTTAAGGCAAAAGTAGCCGTAACGAAATACGAAAGAACAAATGATTCAACAGGTACAGCATCTGCAAAGAGCAACAAAAAATTGTTAATTCTTAAATTCTTTTAAAATATAAAAAATAAATAAAATAAAAGGAAAAGATAAAGGCTCATTACAGTGCTTCACTTGAAGAGTATTAGAGGCTCGATTTCGATTTCCAGAAATATCTGCTGTAATGTTTTCAGGAATACTGACTGAAATTGTATCACTTTCTGCTTGTATATGTGCTGTGTAGCTGCTCCTTGTCATTTCTTGAAAACTGCAAAATATGCACAAAACAGTGACCAAAAAAAAAATGATAATAATAATCATACATTCAATATTTATATGGGAACTTTACTCGAAGCTTATTCATTAATGCATTCGATATCCTGTTGTGTTTTCTTCATTAAATATACCTCTGCAAATGACCCCCTGAAATCGATACGTGAGACGAATTGAAATCGAACACTGGCTTCACGAATTTGATCAGAATAGGAACAGTTTTCTCTTTAGTCCGCATGTTACATGTCGTGCTCAGCTTGACAGTGGGTCTTTCGGTATCTGTGACATGAAAAACCAGCAAAAAAATTAAATTCAAAACAGAATGAAAATGGTTATTTATCAGCTTACTTACAAGTGCATCGATTTAGAACGAACCGAAAAAGATGGAGTGTAATGTTAATTTTAGATCCAGCGAGGCAGAAATACACCAAAAAATAGATTTCTACTAGAAAGCTTTCATGCTAAGCTACTTCTTCACATACACCAAATAAATTCACTTCCTCTAAAAGCAAAAGCTTTTTGCACGCTGTAAACCGGCTTATCCGAGAGTAGCTCATTAGGTTCATTTTGCATTACCATATAAAAAGGATACAGGAGGAACTGGAGAAATCGGTGTCCCTTGTCTGCTAATCACCATATCCGACTGAAGACTTACAGTTACAATGGCCAAATCTGAAATATCCATAAGCTGCAAGGCCAACAAACAAACATCGCTTCACATAACTTTTGCTAGTAATAATGAAAAAAAAAAAAAAAAAAAAAAAAAAAAACTATGAAAACACGATAATGTAAAGTACCTGATAGCCAAATCTTCGCTGTCCAAACGTACTCCCATTTATAGGGACGAGCGAGCCTTGATTTAATTTGAGGGAATTCAAGATCTCGGCCGACGAGTTCAGTACTGGCTCGGTAAAATATAAGTACACTTTCAAGTATTTATTTTTGTTTGTTGCTAATACAGTTCGAGTGTCGCTATTTAGTTGAAGCAGCCTTTCGGGCACGTGAGTCCTCATATCCACATGCACACTCCTTCTATCTGTAAAAATCCATAACAAAAAAAAAAAATGCTGAGGTAAAATCAAATTCATATATTTTTTTCTAATCAAGTAACAAAAAGAATACGGAACTCACCAAAATGTATGAATAAGCTCGAATTCTCTGTCCTTATGAACTGGTTACCTGCAGAGTCTGTACAGAAATTTTTATCCATCACTAAGATTAAACGTCCGTTTCGAACTCCTCCAGACACTTTTACCGTAATCGAGTATTTCAAGATCGGTTGTATGATGTCGAGTGTACTAGGCAAGACCTCACCGGGACCATAAACAAGAAGCTGTCGAGAAGAGATCATAGGAAACTTTAGAAAATTCTAGAAGTTTCCGTATAAGAAGCTGGCACTCGACAAGACAACCTGGGAGAACTCAAAATAAATTACAACACTAACTCACATTGCATGCATTTACAGAAGAACATTTGAAACCTCGGCAAGCTTCACTGAAGGATATATTGACCGAAGTACGAGAAGCATTCGTAAAGGATGTCTCGGCTGTAAGGTGAGCTGTGGGCCTCACTGTGTCTGCAAAACAGAACAAAACAAGGAACATAAATCATATTTTTTATTTTGTATATTAATTTTCAAGTTTATTTTGAATAAATGAACAAAAGAATAAGGAATGTATTACTATCTTCCACCATTCCATGGTAAAATTCACTAAAAGTGATTTGTTAATCATCAAACAAAGTTGAAATTTTCAAGTTTCTACATAGTTTACTCATTATTTATTCTTCTCTTTTTACTATGTTTGTAACGAATATAAATGGAAAAAAGGGTAACCGTTCGACCAACAGTCCAGTTGTAGCTGGTGCAGGCAGCTCGTGTAGACCCGTTAAGGCACACCTCAAAGAAATGATTCCCTTCTAATAATTTCGAATACGAAACTTTTCGACCTTCGCAAGCTGAGAACATGCCATGATCCAGCTGCATTTGTGGTACATGTCAAAATTACCAAGCAAAATCATAGAGAGCTAATGCCTTAAAAAAATTCGAAATACAATCGGCATGTAATTGATTGAATTGTCTCTTTCTCAGCAATCTCCTAAGAATGAGCTCCCAAGCTAATATGACTTTTTAAGTGTTTTAACATTATGAGGCAAAATCAAAGAGAGCTAAAGCTGATAAACACAAAAAATCAAACTAAAATAAATATTCTTGAAATCTTCTAAAAGATTCTGAAAAATAAATATTCTTGAAAATCATATTAGAACATTAGTCTTAGCCAAATTGAAGTTGAGTTGGCAAAGCAATTGAGCAAAATTTTAGCAGTTAAAGAAAACATTTTTATAACATTTCATTATTGGCTGTAAGCATATAGCCAAGATAACTTTAAAATATCAAACTACAGAAAGACAGACATCCCTGTATTTAAAAACCCTCTTCACATGGATTTACAAAGAAGTAATTATAAATCCAACTCAAATCAGCACAGCCACAGATATTGCTAGATTTGCTCATTGAAAGAAAAATAATTTAAAATGTAAATTTTCCATATTTGTGAATTAAAAAAAAAAAAAAAAAAAAAAAAAAAAAAAAAAAAAAAAAAATCAAGAAAAAAGGCCAAAAAGATAGCACCTTTCAGTGTGTGAGGCTTCAGAATTGAACTATAATACACCAACCTTACAATTGGTGGCACAATCAGAGCAAAGGCCGCCATTGGCGCCCCTCACAGCTTGAAAAACAAAAATGGCTGAGTTTCTATTGGATAATGCACGAGGGGTTTTCAGTAATTTCACAGCCACCTCAGACCCCTCCTCAGAATGAGCTCCCAAGCTAAAACCCAGAAAAACCCAGCAATGAAGGAGCAAAAATACACAAAATTTCAAGCCCATTTTGCTTCTCACCACATATATCTAAGATATACAAACACCAACAACCATTTTTCGTGTTTCTGGAAATTTCTTGATAAAAATTCAGTCTTTTTTAGTACGCCATTTTCTCTTTTGCCCACTGGAGCAGAAAAAGAGTTGGAGGGTAGGAGAGAGAGAGAGTATAAAGTGTGTTTCAGTGTGTGAGAGAGATAGAAAGAGTAGAAAAATTGAATCTTTTGTACACTAACAAAGACTAAAAATTATTGAATGAGGAAGGGTAAAATAGAGATAAAAATGTGGAGCTGAACTATAAGTGGTGGATGAAAAATTGAGCTGGGATGGAGCACATGAGACTGACATTGTGTGTGTGTGTATGTGTGTGTTTTTGTTGCAGTCAGAGAGAGAGAGAGAGAGAGAGAGAGAGAGAGAGAGAGAGAGAGAGAGAGAGAGAGATTCCAAATGAGAGTGTTCATATTAAATGAAGACAGTGTATATAGTGACAGTACCTTCTGATTATTGGCCATGAATGAGAAGAGACTGTGTATTCTCAAAACTTTAGTCAAACTCATTTGACTAAAGTTAGTAGTTACTAGTATTCGACCCTGTGCATTTGCACAAATGTAAATAAAGTATTGTGAGTTATTTGTATGTATATGATGATTAATTATTTTTCTTTCACTTTTTTGCATGCCAAATTTACAAATAAAGAAGTTGAAATATTTACTTTCTTTTTTTAAATTGTGTTTATCTGATTGGATTTGGATGTAATGTATATTTTGGTACGTCTTTTTTTTTTTGAATTATTTATCATTTATTTAAGAATTTCAAATATGTTTTTAATTTAAAAAAAATTAATTTAAATGTAACCACAATAATAACATCTACTCACATTGTACGATCAACACATTATATGGTCAGCTGTCACTAATAAAAAGCTTAAAATAATTTTTGTAATTTTGAAGTGATTAGTATTGATTATTTAATAATTAAATGAAAGATTAAATACATAAAAAATAACGGTTTTTGGAGGGAAAAGTATTAAATTGCCACTTAGGTAAAATTAATTATGTTTTATTAAATGCTATTGGCTAGTAATTATATATATATATATATATATATATATATATATAGATTTTTGCTCTTGTGATTCTTGAGCTCATGCTCGAACATTTATCTATCCATGCTATTATTACTACACAAGTCGATAAACGAGCTCGTGCCCAGCTCGTCTATAAATAAAAATTCAAAATTTTGTATTAAAAACTTTTATTGTCGAAGCTTAAGGAGTTAAGCTAATACGTCAACTAAACTAATTGAAATTCAACTCGTTCATCAAACAATAACTAACAAGCGGTGTCATTTCATTATTATCTCTAGTTGTAATGAGAAAAGACAATCATTTCTTCAAAATCTTTCTCCTGTACATATAAGAACCATGCGTATTCGTTTGCTGAGTGATCAAAATTATGCTTTTTTATCTGTTTTTGGCTTTTTTTTTAACTCTCAATTGACAAAACAATGTCATTTCAGCCTTCAGGTTAATTAAACGAGCTCAAATTCGACTCATTTATTAAATAAGGCGAACCAAACCGACAAACGATTCATTCCATTTAATTGCAACAAAAAAAAATCTATATATATGGTTTTATTTTTATTTTTAAAAGATATTTATATTATTTTTAGAAGCAAAAATGATACATGTGAAACGAGACAAGCCCGTTGAAGGGAGGGGACCCTCTTATCTATTTTATGGGCCTCTAATATACGTGTGTTGGTAAATCCTCCCAAAGATAGCCGATTGGATATAGGAACTTCTAACAGACACAAATTGAGTAATGGTTGTAATTTTTTTTATTTTTTTTTTTAATTTTATGGTTGACTATTATCTTGTTTCATTTATTTATGAATTAATGAATTCATGCTGTAAGAAACGGAGGAAAAGCGGAATGGATCTTAGTGGGGTTTCATCTTAAAATTAATCGGTGGTATGAAAAGCAGTTCAGTTAGACGTATTTCCCTCTATAGAGGATGTGTGACAACTCAATAGTGTATATTTTAACAGGCCTCCTCACTTGTGAGTCCTTCATATGAGACCCAAGCCCAACTGAGCAGGGTGACGGGCGCACCAAAGCATAGTGAGTGGGGTTTCATTATAAAACCAATTGATGGTAGGAGATGTAAACCACTAATCTTCTAAGTTATACCTATTTTACGTGTATAAACGATGTGAGACAATTAATGAGTGTATATTCTAATACAAGGGCTGCCAATATTTTCATTAATAGTATCGATATCAATTTATGTATTTTTTTCCCGGCACCGGCACAATTATATTGATACAAAATATCTACTATATGTGTGTGTCAAAAATTCTATGGAGCAATCGGATTGTTTTCTTACGGAACCATCCATTGCTTAATATATTGACACATGTCCAAATTGTATTTATTGTAAGACACCTGTCAATACACTATTAGTGAATAAGTGTGGATTGCTCCATAAGCCGAGCCATCCGATTGCTTCACAGCAAAACTGATGTGTGTGTATATATTTAAAGATTGAATGACTGAATTAGCTAATGTATGAATTGTCCAATGATTATTAGCAACTAAATATCTAAAAGGTCTAAATACCAATACTGTTCCAATTTTTCATCAACAACATTAATAAAATTTGTCATCTTTTTCATGAAAATTCGAATATATTAAATTTTATCTTTATTGGTTTTATGTATTTTGTACTCTTTATATAAGAACAATGTTTGTGAGTCGATTCGGGTAACTATGAACTGATGTTTTTTTTTTTTTTTGGCTTCTCATATGTATTGATGTTTAATGAAGCATTTCATGAGGTTGATTAATGGGCCGTTTCTCTCGATTGGGAGCCCAAAGGTACCCTTTCTAGAGCCGGTATTGAGCTCCATGTGTACAAAAGTAATGGGCCTAGCGTACGTAAATATAATGGGCCTTTGTGATTTATTAGCTTAAATCATGTTATCACTTAAAGTTTGTAAACCATAGCAAAGGCTCCGAAAGGGATGTCAAATTTTCCTTTCGGATCGGGTGACCCGACCCAACCTAAACTCGATGTTTGACTTGTCCATTGTCATCTTTTTAGTTTATTTTAAATAGAAAAACAAATACTATATTTTTCGAGCAATGGTGAATTGAAGAGTTTTTTTTTTTTTTTTTTTTTTTTTTTTTTTTTTGGCCACTTATATCCAGTCACTTAAGTCAACCAATATGATTAGTCTTCAAAGGTTGATTACATTTTTTTTTCTCTTTGTTTTTTAAATATAAATCACGCATTCAAGCGAAACATATTGTCAGAATACATCTCGGTGTGTAAACATTGAGTACGAGCCTTTAATTGGTCGAGTCGAGCTCGGCTCGTTACATAAACGAATTTGAAAGAGCTCAAGCTCGTTTATCACTGATAACGAGTCAAGTTTTTCGTCTTAATAAGCCAATCTCGAGTTTTAACGAGTCAAATTATAAAAAATTATATAAAGTTTCTTTTATTGAGTCGAACTCGAGTCTTAACGATACGAGCTCGAACACTGCAACAAAAGAAAGTGTGAAAAAAAGAAAGAAGAGAAGACAACAACAATATTGATTACAATTCTAAAGAATGAGATTACCTCAAATGACAAATTAAATTGTCTTTTGTGTGGGTGGGTTACAATTCTAAAGAATGAGATTGAGATTGCTTCAAATGATTAAATAAATTGTCTTTTGTGGGTCAATTTCAATTTTTTTTTTTTTTTAAAAATGGGGTTACCTTACTTCACATGACAAAGTTAACCTGAATGTCAATTTTCAACTGTGAAGATAAAGATTACTCCAAGTGACAACATGAAATTCTCAATGATTGGGGAAGAAAAATCTCATGTAGAAAACGCGCAAATGCTAGGATCTCATTACGGAACCATTAGGACATTCACAATACATTGAGTTCAACCATCAAAAACTGTATGCCACAAAAGAAATATACATAGGATAAAAAAATGTATTCTCCAATGCAAACAAAAGTAAATTGTCTTGTTGCTGTGGCAGCCAAAAAAAGAGACTCGATCTATCTTTATTTTCGGAGACCTAGTTTCTTTGCATTAGAGTAGATTTTATCAAATTTACATTGTTTTATCCATGTCATTCAAGACTTGAGTTTATTCACATGGCACATAGACAAGACTAAACCCAATGCATTGTAAATGTTCTTAGTTCAACAATACTCGACTGTTACATGATAATCTACCGGTTACAAATCTCGACGAAATAGTTCCGTTACGAGATTTCCTGTAAAAAAACATACCTAAACTTCACTTTTTTTATTACATGTAATATATATATTTTTTTAAATAACTATACATAATTTAAAAAATAAACTAACGTACTCTAAAATAAAAATACAAATAAAATTATGACATTTTATCTTTATTTAAAAAAAAAAAAAAGCACATTAATCCGCTTAAATAACATAACGAGACCACTAGTCAGCTTTACTATAACTAGTACAGAGCCCGTGCAATACACGGGGTGCACAATTGTAAGGTTATTTATCCAGCTTTACTATTATATAAATGAATAAAAAAATATAGGAGATATATATAGTACGGGACCTGTGCGAGACACGTGATATATTTATTTGGGGAATATTATATTAAAGATGCAATATTCAATAAAAGTTTTATAATACGCAGGAAAATTATACAATAAAATAGTATTCGACAAAGAAACAATCATATATTATTAAAGACTCCTTGTACATAGATATCAAATAATTTTTTAGTAAAATAGTGTAAATTTATTACAATAACAAAACAACATGCTCACGGATTAGTAAAAATACTTCATGGATTGAAGATTTAATGAGATTAAACATTTAAATTAATTAATTTAGATAATTTAAAATTAGATAATTCAAAAGTCTTCCAACATTATTTTTAATTTAATATATTACAGCATGGGTATACTTTAAATATATTAATATTTAGGAACTTTAACAACATAGTTTTCAAAAAATTGTTTTAGGGAACTTT